AATTCTCCAGGCAGCAATTCTGGGAGTTGAAGCCCACTCATCTTAAAGTTGCTAAGGTTGAGAAACACTGGTCTGGAGTCATCTAAGAAAATCCTGTTCAGACTAAGAGACTTTAGCAATAGTTCTCAAGGTACTCAATCTATAGAGTAGGTAACTACATGCTCCTTTTGATGCTGCTATGCCTTCCCATCTTTCTGTTCCTGGACAGCAATTACCAATTGCTTTTATTCCTGTGGTGGATCTTACAGGACACACAGACACAGACACACACACTTAAACTAAATTTATATGTATAAAGGTCAAAGCACATACATTAAGGTCCAACACACACCTTTACAATAAAAAATCCTTTCATGCTGCCCTGTTGGTTTCTAATGTCTTCCAGAACTGACTTTATCAGGAATGCTGTAATAGTACAATGGTTTTAATACTTGCCTTGAAAATAGAATGTTCCTTCATCACCATAGAACAATGATGAAATTGTGCACTGCTGGACTTATTTTTAAAAAGCCCAGGGAAAGTAGCTAGTTCAGAGAAAGAAAAATGGCATTTTAAAAAAATCTACTGTGTATTTAAACAGCAATCTTTTATCTACAAGCCAAGGTAGCTCTAGAAGTCATTAGAAACCATGGTAACTGTTGACTCAGTTGAGGAGGAATTCCTGCCTCTGTGAAGTAGCCAAAGAACTGTTGGAGTTAGCTTGTAACAAAGTAAAATGCACAAGCCGAAATGGACAGGAGAACTCAAGCAACATAAGGGGAAAAAGAAAAACTGCAGCCAAAAATATATCTCGAACTCATATTTGATAGAGGGGTGAATACAGAGTGATGATGTCTGTTCCTGCCCTCCAAAAATGGTTGCTGGAACATTCTGGTGAAGAGTCAACCAGGAAGTATGATAAGTCCAATGAAAATGAAAAAAAAAAAAACCCTTCTAAAAGTGAAAGAAAAATTAACGAATGTTTGCAGATCCACAAATATTATGAGAGCGCTCTCCAGATATCTGAAGGTTGGTCAAAGACATGTTCTGCTTATGTTGAAATCTAATCAACATTATTTATAAGAGAGATTTTATAAACTTCTTGAAAGTAATTTTGTTATGAGAGTTAATATCTGAGAGTAGTGTTGAGCGTTTTTTTGCTTGAACCAGAAAGTCTCCTGCTATTTATTGCAGATATTTGCCTAACTTTGTGGTATCTTATTATTCCACTATTCAATAGTGTCTCTGACAATGTTGTTTCGGTGTTACAGGGAGAATTCCTCCTGCTTGTTTATTAAATTAATTATTAAATTAATTGATCTTGTGGTCTTCCATGTTAGGGAACAGAA